CACAAGACAGGCACAGACAGACACACAGACAGACACACGGGCAGATATACAGGTAGGAACACAGACACACAGCCAGACGCACAGACAGACACACAGACAGACACACAGACAGGCACACATGCAGATATACAGGCAGGAACACAGACACACAGACAGACACACAGACAAGCACACAGACAGACACATAGACAGACACACAGACAGACACACAGGCAGATATACAGGCAAGAACACAGACACACAGACAGACACACAGACAAGCACACAGACAGACACACAGACAGACGCACAGACAGACACACAGACAGACACACAGACAGGTACAAAGATACAGACAGACACACAGACAGACAGACACACAGACAGACAGACGCACACACAGACAGACACAGACACACAGACAGACCCACACACACAGACACACACACAGACAGACACACAGACAGACACACAGATACAGACAGACACAGACACACACACAGACACACACACACAGACAGACACACAAACACACAGACAGACACACACAGACACACAGACAGACACACAGACACACAGACAGCCACACAGACAGCCACACAGATACAGACAGACACAGACAGGCACACAGACCCATACATACAGACACACAGACACAGATACAGACAGATACAGACAGACACACAGACACAAACCGATACAGATACACAGACAGACACACAGACACAAACCGATACAGATACACAGACAGACATACACAGATCGATACAGCCAGACACACACAGACACAGACAGCAGCAGAGGGGGAAGCGCGGGTTTGGGGAGGGTTGGGGTGAGGGTTGGGGTGAGGGTGGGGGTGAGGGTTGGGGTGAGGGTTGGGGTTGGGGTGAGGGTTGGGGTGAGGGTTGGGGTGAGGGTTGGGGTGAGGGTGAGGGTTGGGGTGACGGTTGGGGTTGGGGTGAGGGTTGGGGTGAGGGTGGGGGTGAGGGTTGGGGTTGTGAGGGTTGGGGTTAGGGTTGGGGTGAGGGTGGGGGTGAGGGTTTGGGTGAGGGTTGGGGTGAGGGTGGGGGTGAGGGTTGGGGTGAGGGTTGGGATGGGGGTTGGGGTGAGGGTGAGGGTTGGGGTGAGGTGGGGGTGAGGGTTGGGCTGAGGGTTGGGGTGAGGGTTGGGTGAGGGTGGGGGTGGGGGTTGGGGTTGGGGTGAGGGTTGGGGTTAGGGTTGGGGTGAGGGTGGGGGTGAGGGTTTGGGTGAGGGTTGGGGTGAGGGTGGGGGTGAGGGTTGGGGTGAGGGTGGGGGTGAGGGTGGGGGTTGGGGTGAGGGTTGGGGTTAGGGTTGGGGTGAGGGTGGGGGTGAGGGTTTGGGTGAGGGTTGGGGTGAGGGTGGGGGTGAGGGTTGGGGTGAGGGTTGGGATGGGGGTTGGGGTGAGGGTGAGGGTTGGGGTGAGGGTTGGGTTGAGGGTTGGGCTGAGGGTTGGGGTGAGGGTTTGGGTGTGGGTTGGGGTGAGGGTTGGGGTGAGGGTTGGGGTGAGGGTTGGGGTGAGGGTTGGGGTTGGGGTGAGGGTTGGGGTGAGGGTGGGGGTGAGGGTTGGGGTGAGGGTGGGGGTGAGGGTTGGGGTGAGGGCTGGGGTGAGGGTGGGGGTGAGGGTTGGGGTGAGGGCTGGGTGAGGGTTGGGGTGAGGGTTGGGTTGAGGGTTGGGGTGACGTTTGGGTGAGGGTGGGGGTGAGGGTTGGGGTGATGGTTGGGGTAAGGGTGGCGGTGAGGGTTGGGGTTTGGGGTGATGGTTGGGGTAAGGGTGGCGGTGAGGGTTGGGGTGAGGGTTGGGTGAGGGTGGGGTGAGGGTTGGGGTTGGGGTGAGGGTTGGGGTGAGGGTTGGGGTTAGGGTGGGGGTGAGGGTGGGGGTGAGGGTTGGGGTGAGGGTTGGGGTGAGGGTTGGGGTTAGGGTCACGGTTGGGTCGAGGGTGAGAGGCTGCACGGAGCGATTTGAGGAGGTTGTGATTGCGGTGCGGTGAATTGATGTGAGAAGTTCTCTGATGAGGTGGTGTCTGTTGAGGATGAGCCAGTGCTCGCGCGGGACGCTATTGAGAATGCTGATAATGTCTACGTGGCTGTGATGATGTGGCTGTGAGTACGAGGAGGTGGCTGTGAGTCTGAGGAGTGCGATGAGGTGACCTATATCCGGAGCAGGCTATGGTAGTGACACAAAGTCAAGGATCCCCCGATTGCCTTCGCATACTTGGGAGCAGTTACTGTTAGCGAGCACCTATGAAGGCCGGCAAGGCACACGAAGGGGGTGGGTGGCCAGCACCACGCCCGGCCACCTTTGTCTCCCTTGTGGCGATGTTTACACATCGCACTAGGTACTCATTTGAGGCTGAGTCGACCTATGGTAGGACACAACACACACGCGCGCGCGCCAACACCTTCACAATGGTGATTTGAGGTCAGAAAGGACGAAGCCGCGTGACTCATCACTCACGAACGGCCTGCCGGGGTTTCCTCTCGGCGCGTTCGTCGCTGACAATTCGTTACCATCAGCAATACCTGACGAGAGCTGGAGCTCCCCGGGGCGGCGCTCCGGAAAATGATTCCCCCCCCCGCCCCTCCCCCCCTGCCCCTCCCCCCCCGGCCACCTTCCGTGGCGGGTCGTGGAGTCTGGGCGCTTTGGTGGTTGTGGAGGGAGTTGAAAATATTCCATGAGAAATGTAGCTCTGATGATCATAATAATACTACTAATTATATTTTAACAATTATTATTATCATCATCATCATGACCCACTCCACTTATGCATCTTCTATCTTAAGAAGTAGGCAGGGCCAAGTCACTTGTCTGGTGAACGTGCTTGTGATGCCAAGGGGAGACCCGGGAAATGTAACAAAAAATAAAATAATAAAAGCGCTCATCCCGTATGGGTCAGGAGACGCCGCCGCCGCCGCCGCGGCTGCTGCTGCGCCCCGTGGTGTTATTATCAAACCGATCACGTCCAGCGTTGGACGTGGGGGGTTCTGCAGGAAAAGTCCCGCTCGCATATGCGCAAGGTTGGGTGAGTCAATGCATTGCATCGGCGAGCCTCGTCAACATCGGCATCGGCAGCAGCAGCAGCAGCAAGAAATCATAATGAGAAAGCGGTGTTAATAATCGGCAGCATCAGCAATAGCACCATCAGCAGCAGCGATATCAGCATCATAGCAGCATATGTATAACCAACCATATTATCAGCATCGGCATAATCACAGTATCATTACCATTCGCAATATCATGAGCAGTATCGTCATCACCAGGGCAACAGCATTAATATCAGCATCATCCATATCAGCATCAGCATCATTAGCAGCATCAGCAGTAGCATCAATAGTATCGTCAGTCGCAACATCATCATCATCATCATCAGCAGCAGCATTGGAAGCATCGTCATCAGCAGCATCGGCAGTAGCAGCATAATCAGTAGCAGCAGTAGCAGCAGCAGCATCATCATCAGCATCATCATCATCAGCAGCATAATTATCATCAGCAGCAGCATCATCAGCAGCAGCAGCATCATCAGCATTATCAGCATCATCAGCAGCAGCATCATCAGCTTTATCAGCATCATCAGCAGCAGCAGTCGACAGGTGTGTGGCGACCCGGGCGCGGGGTCAAAGGAATCCGTGACCTCTCTCGTGGGAAACAAAGGTCAGAAGGTCGCGAGCCGGGCGAGTCACGGCGCAGGGAGGCTGGAATGTGAGAGTCTGCGGGGAGCGGCGCGCCACGCACGCTGCGTGACTGACGGGCGCTTTTGTGTGTTGCCTAATCACGGTGTGTGCGTGTGTGTGGGTGTGCGCGCCCCTGCCTTGGGGTATGTCTCTGTGTGTACGTGCATGTGTCGGTTTTCGTCGGCGCTCGCTAACAGCACTTGCCCCTACAGTCTGTTAAGGCTATACGGGGGATCTTTGTCTCTGTGGTTCTCACTAACAGCACTTGCCCCAACAGTCCGTTAAGGCTATACGGGGGATCTTTGTCTTTGTGCTGCTCGCTAACAGCACTTGCCCCAACAGTTTGTTAAGGCTATACGGGGGATCTTTGTCTTTGTGGTGCTCGCCAACAGCACTTACCCCAACAGTCCGTTAAGGCTATACGGGGGATCTTTGTCTTTGTGGTGCTCGCCAACAGCACTTGCCCCAACAGTCTGTTTAGGCTATACGGGGGATCTTTGTCTTTGTGGTGCTCGCCAACAGCACTTGCCCCAACAGTCTGTTAAGGGCTTAACGGGGGATTTTTTTTTAAATTTGTAGCTTTGTGTGTCTGTGAGCATTATTTTTTTATTTTGCTCGTGTTGGGGTTAGGGTTTAGTAACGCAATGACAAACATACACGTTGTTACTAACACACACACATTGTCGCAGTGTAACACAATTACGTGTGTGGTGTGTGTGTTCGTGTATACTACGGTAATTGTGTTTTCCTGCTAAATAAGTTTGGAGAATGGATTGGAATAATAAAAATGTAATGTGTATATAGAACTAAAGTCTAGGCCATATATACACGCACCACACACACACACGCAATTATATTTATAATACCGTTAGGATGCATTGAATAACGGGAGCTTGTTAAAAATGACAACAATAATGCAACAATTAGGATTTTTTTTAGATAATGTACTCATTTTGCAAATCCACTGAGCCGTTGCGTGACGACGCTTCAGGCTGCTCGGTGAAGACTGCTCAAGAGGAGATGTCGGGGTGGGGTGTGGAGGGGCGGGGGTGGGGAGGGTCAAGTCCCGGTTCAAAGTTCAACATATCACTTACCACTGATGTTAGCCGTGAACTCAGGTGACCGGATTCATCGTGTAACATCTCAGTTATGACCTGCTTAATGATCTGATTTTCGCAGGAAACTCAGCACATCAATAGCCACACTGGTGTGTGGGCCTCCTTAAACGGGGCATACAAAACATTCCACGGGCGATGTTTTGGTTCAATGGCCAATGCAGTATCGCCGAACAACGTGCTCATTTTTGTTTTACAGGAAAGCTTCACAGAGTCATGCATGGGAACTGGACTCGCTTCGAGCAGGGGACCGGCTGGGACGTCTGCCCCTTTACACTCGAGGCTTAAGGGGCAGGGCTACAGGTAGGGTTGGCCCAAACGTCAGTTCTGTTGTGTCTCATACATAAACGCTTGTCACGAAGTTGGAATCTTGCCTGTTTTTTGTTGTTGTTGTTCCAAGTCAGTTTAGTATACTCGTATGTGGACGATTGTTACCGACTGACCGCTGTGAATTGTGGCGATGTTTGTCGTAACGGGGTTACGGAAGTAAAAATTCGCCGTAAAAATATCGTCGACAATTAGAAAAACTAATTTTAAGCTCAAAACATTGGAATTTGGGCCACTATAAATTATGGCTCAAAGGTCGATGAGCTTCACTGATTGGGCAATCCCAGCCTGAAGAAAGTTAGACTCTGGTCCTTCTTCATAGCAGAGGAGCTATGAAGGAAAGGCCATCGCTCCATCATCCATCGCGTCTTCCTTCGGTACAACGCCATTGACGAGTGTGCACCACTCCCAGTATGGCAATTGTTTTTTTTCTCAGCTTCAAATCAAGTTTCTCTCTATTACTCCCAACCCCACCGTTATCCTTCCTCCCACCCCCCGAACCCATCCCCACCGACCCCTTCCAGCCCCCACCCTCGTCCCCTCGTCTAGACTCCAAGCCTTCACCTGCCAGTCAGAGGGGGTCCTTGTGAGCAATGATGTGAGACGTTGAGTCACGTCCCGTGAGCTCGCACTGCCAGCAGCCCCGGGGCTTGGAGAAGGTACAAATGAACTTTGTCTCTCGCCTTGAGTTGTCTTTGTCTGGCTCGTTTTTTGGAGGAGTGGGGGCTCTGGATAACGCGCTGACTCACACGCGCTCTCACTCGCTTGCACTGATAGGAGCGCAGTGAGTTGGCTACGGTGATGAATGCGTCGTAAAAACTTGTATTGCTGTGAAATACGTAGTTAAGTAAATCACAATTAATAATATAAATATTGCTCGATAATATTCATATTTAGTATTAAAACAATAACACGTAGCATTTCGCGGTCAATATGATTCATAATTGATATTTGGGTCAGGTTGCCACGTCAGAATCAGAATCTTTATTTATACTGGAGGAATCCAATAAGCTATGAAGCTCTTTATCGCAGATGTCCAGTAGGGGCAGGTAAGAACAATTCTGTCTGGGTCAGCGACCCAAACAATGTTCCTACATCCGGCACACCACATCCGGCACACAGTAACCAATATACCGAGGGGCGGGTCAGAAAGTTGCAACAACAAAACAAAAACACGATGGGAGTGCAAAGTATAGGAAAGGTAAACAAATAACAATTTTGTTTTTATTTCACCAGGTACGGCCCACTGAGCAATTAGCTTCTTTTTACACGCTCTCTTTGAACTCACTCTGTCTGTTGTTGTTGTCGTTGTTGTATCCTAAAATCTTGTAATTAAATTTTAACCCACTTCCCAATGTGGTATCGACTGCAAACTTGGTATACTTATGTCATACTGATGACAATACTTCTATTCTATCATAAAAAAATATTTTTAAACATTCTTTTGTATATGTTATGTTTCGGCTTGGGTCTAATTGTCCACGCTCAACTGACGTTGGCTGTAATTGGCCACGGTCCCTTACGTTATGGCAAGCCTCGGGGCCACTTCCTGGAGTCGTGGAGTTCTGCCATTACGAGTACATTTCTTAAAAGCGTGTTTAAAAAAAAAACTTTTTTTTAAATATGACTTTTCAGACGCGACCTGGCCATACATTATAGCTCAACGAAGTGGCTTATGTGGAAATGTATAGCAGCCAAATAATCAAAATAATCTAAACGTCTGTTGTATGCCCTCCTTCACCCGATGCAGTCAGTTATTACAATTGTCACGTGATTCAAACGTGGCAACTTATTATCACTGAAGCACACCGCAAGTGACATTGGGGAGCGATCCACACACACTTAACACTTAGGTACGGATATTTCACTGGTAAGTACAATAAGCATCATTAGTTAGTTGCCAGAATTCGGATATACAGTGATACCTCGGTTCACGAACTCCGCTTCAGTTCACGAACAGGAGCTGCGGCCATTTTAATGCTAATTCCAGGCTGTCACATGGTCGTGACTTCCTGTAGGAAGATCGTGGAGAGAAGCAGAGACACAGAAAGAAGTACTGTGAGTACTGTGAAGACACTGTCAGTGACTTTTTGATTTTTGGTGTGCTTTTTAGCACATACAGTACTGTACTGTACTACTGTACTGTACAATACTGTACTTACTGTATTGCACAGTTCACCTGTTTGAGTGCTTACTGTCTCCCACCCGCCTCCCACCTGCCTTCCTCCATGCCAGAAGTCATCTCAAGCAAGGTTAGTGTTCTTTCTTTATACATTACTATACTGTACAGTACTACAGTAATGTGTATTGTCATTTGTTTCATATTTTTGTGCTTCAAAAACCAAAAAAAAAGGTCAGAACGGATTAACCGGATTTACATTGAACCCTATGGGAAAATGTGCCTCGGTTCACGACCAATTCGGTTCACGACCAGAGTCAGTTCACGAATTAAGTTCGTGAACCGAGGTATCACTGTAGTTCTGCGATATCTCCTTCGGCAGACCATTCCCTTACGCGGGGTGACGCGGTGCTGTGTGCGAGTTGTGACCGGGTTCTCTGTCTGCCGGTGGCGGGGTACCAGGAATGCAATCGGGATGACATTCGGGAGTAAACTAAAGAAACATTTATAAAGTAAAAAAGAAAATCCCTGTGAAAACCCAAACCATCATCATATTAAACCAAATTTCCATAAGACTGTGCGACTACATTTAAACATCCACGTACAAATGTAGATATCCAACCGTGCTAATCGGAGGTGCTGGGGAAAGCACAACAAAACTAAACACGAAAGAGCAGTTCTCAAGAAATGAGTTTTCAATCGAGATTTACAAGTGCATAATCGCACGTTAATATTCCGTGCCATCCTGCACCAGGTCCCACTCACCCTCACTCGACTTGGCAGCGCCACCAACCCCGGACGACAACGTCGTGGTCGTGGTGGTCGTCGCACTCACCACCGAGTGAGCGCCCGCCCCCTCGACCATCCCAACCGCCGTCGGCCTCCTCTGCCCTGGCCCGCCGGCCCGGTGCTCCGTCCCCCATGTCGGGGCAGCTGCCCTACCGCTGCCCCCGCTGCGGTGACCACAAGCGCTTCCGCAGCCTGTCCTCGCTGCGCGCGCACCTCGAGTACAGCCACACGTACGAGACGCTCTACGTCCTCTCAAAGTCGTGCCGCGTGCCGGGCGGCCTGGGCCTCACCGGGGCGGGCCGAGCCGCGTCGGCCATAGCGGCCGGCGGCGCGGCCTCCCGCGGCGGCGGCGGCGGCGGAGGCGGCGTAGGAGGAGGAGGCCGCGGGCCGCTGGCCTTGGCGACCGGAGGAGCGGCCTCGTCGTACGAGCGCGGCGCCGCCGCCGCCGCCGCCGGCGCCGGCGCCGAGCTGGCGGGCCGCAGGGCGGGACGGCTGGGAGGGGACGCGCGCCTCTGGGTGGAGGGGCCCGTGCGCAAGGTGGGGCCCGCGACGGAGACCGGCGAGATGCTCTGCGAGGTGCTGGTGCGACGGCCCACGCGCCACGCGTGGTACAGCGACGTGAGTGGAGCTTGCGCGTGCGTGCGTCTATATCATGGGGAGCGGTAGTGTAGCGGTTACCACGCTGCACGATGAATCTGGCGACCCGGGTTTGATTGCAGCTCACGGCCAGCACCAATGACGATTATCTGAACTGGTCTTGGGCCTCTCCTAGGTCGACTCAGCCTCAATTGAGTACCTGGTGCGGTGTGTAAACATCGCCACTAGGGAGACAAAGGCGGCCGGGTGTGGTGCTGGCCACCCACTCCTTAGTGTGCGGTGCCAGCCTTCGTAGGTGCTCGCTAACAGCACTTGCCCCAACAGTCTGTGAAGGCTACACGGGGGACATTTATCATTGTGCGTCTGTATCAGGGGTGTCCAAACCTTCTGACCCTAACGGACACCCGGACCAAAATCATGAACTGACCGAGAGCTCTGCTGAAGCGCCCCGGGGGGTACTCACGTTTGGCCTTAGTTGCCAGGCCTGAGTGTTCCTGGTGGGCCTTCATCCAGCAGTGGAATTGAAAAGTGGCATTATCATTTTACAACCAGGGAATTCCTCAAAGAGAGAAGCTCTCCTGATGAAAAAAAAAGAAGGCACAGGGTTACGATTCGGAAATTAGTTGTTGCTCAAAGCGTGAATTTTCTCGTGCAAAGTGAATCTTGTTGAAAATTGAGCCATTAGCACCCAGCAGTGAGACCCCGCAGTGCGAGCTACAGGCCGTGCCGCTGAAGGCTCGCGCACTGTGCACATCCCAGGGTGGCGTCTCCACAGGACACCCTGGCCCCAGGGCACTGGGGTGGCCTATGGAAACGCCACCCTGCACCGCGGCTTAATGTCTCACCTAATATTCTCCTGGTTACCGGTCGCCCGAAAAAGAGCACGTGACGAGTAGCTGCAGTCATACCGAGAGGTATACTGGATGCGGTGTGCCGGATGTGGCGTGCTAGGATGTAGGAACATTGTGTTTGGGTCGCTGACCCAGACAGAATCGTTCTTACGCGCCCCTACCAGGCATCTGTGAAAAATATCTTTATAGCTCATCTGATTCCTCCAGTATAAACACATATTTTGATTCTAATTCTGAGAATGAGCTAAAATTATGTCCTGCCTGGCACAGAACCAATGGTGTGTCCTCCAGCCTCGCAGCATTACACCCCCCCCTCCACCTCCATAACATTCACCAGTTACTCTGTCCACTCAACCTGCCGCACATCCCAACCCGATCCTAACCCTAACAACTGTCACCAAATTCCTCACTCTAAACATGGCCTTCAACCGCAAAACCGAGCAGCCTCTCTGCACGAGCTCCCCTCCTGCCGTAGCCAAGTCCACTTCACCGGGGCGCCATCAGCCCAGCCCTCTCGCCCCCAACCACGACTCTCGCAAGCACTAACCCCGACCCTCCTCTTGGCGGTGAAAGGTGGGGACCCCCCGTCACGATTACCCCCCCTGCCCCCCCCCCCACAGCCGCCGGAGAAGCACTACCGCGCGGCGGCACGCCTACGACCGCTTGCGGCGCCGCCCGCGCCCGGACGGGACGACGGCCGTAAGCGTGAGAGCGGCGGCGGCGGCGGCCGCGGCGACGGCACGGGAGGAGAGGAGGAAGAGGAGAACGAGGATGAGGAGGAGGAGGAGGACGATGACGACCGGGACGAGGACGAGGCGGCAAGCGAGTCGTCGGGAGGCCGGGGGCCGGCGGTCCGCACGTGCCGGCTGGAGGCCGAGCTTGGTGCGGCAGGCGGCCGACCTGGGCGAGGCGCAGGCGCGCTCGCGCCAGCTGGGCCGCGAGAAGGAGGAGCTGGCACGGCGTGTGGAGGAACTGTCTCGCCAGGTGGACGCCAGCGCCGGGATGATCGCCGCGCTGCGCCAGGAGCTGCTGCGCAAGGAGAGGGAGCTGCACAGCAAGGAGCAGTGAGTGGTCGCGCAGTGACATGCTGAATACGTGTGTATGTGTGATCGAGCAGTGATTGAGCAGTGACATGCTGAATACTGTGTGTCTGTGTGATCGAACAGTGATTGAGCAGTGACATTCTGAATACGTGTGTATGTGTGGTTGAGCAGCGATCGAGCTCACCGCACTGATTCTTTGCATTGTCGTAATTCTATTTCAACATTCAATTCAAGAATCAGTTCATTTTCGAGTCTCATATTTTCCATCCCGCTTATATTGTTTGTCATTTTTCTTTCTCATTTCCACAGTTTTGCTTGTTCCGTTGCCCTAAATGTAACATTTCCATATCCTTAGAATATAATTGGGATAAATGATAATCAATGATTGATCCTCACTCATGATGTGTCTCATGCCTAAATAATCAATTTCAATCTCATTCGACGATATCACCACATTATAAATGTTCAATGCCATTCATTCTTGACAAGCCTGGGCACGTCTGTTTAATTGTAAAATGACGGTCATTTTGCAATAATAACAGGGTGTTTTGTTTTTTAATAGTTTTGTTTATATTTTTATCTCACCAACGGTGGAAATCCCTGCTATCATTTCAAATAACCCCTCATTTGCTGTGCCAGCCCACCGAATTACATCACAGGACCGAGAGAGGGAGGCTACTGCCGGCAGCCACGGGGAGGCCTCTATCCACCAGAGGAATGACCATGGCTGATGTATCGGTGATGACGCTAGCTGAAGCAGTACTAGCAGCAGATTTACATACACACAGACACACGTACGTGGGACTGGGTTGGCGAAGGTGGGAAGCATAGAAGGACAATACAGTACGACGATTGATGTCGATCTGCAGTATACTTCTCTGATGCCCACAGCGTAGGCCAGCTGTAGGAGCTTCACACCTCGTCCGTGATAACACAATGGTCATGCACAGTTCTACTGCTGGGATTGCGAAGGTGAAGCATGGCTACAATTGAGCTGGGTGATACGGAATGACAATTCATCGTGACTTTTATTCTGGTCAAGCCGGTGGTTGGGAAAAAAATTGTCGTTAAACCAGAAGCATTTGAAGGAAAAAAGTGTAATTCCCAGCTGTAAGCTATATGAATAATGTGTGATAAAGAAGGGTCATTACCCGAAACGTCAGTCATTTTTATACATATTTTATTTTCGGACCACAGTGTTGTTGAATATACCGGATTGCCTTTTATAGGAATCCGAATTAATGTTCGCCCTCTGCTGCTCCTGCAGATTTTCCATTCCTCGCCATAAAACCACCACCGCCATCATCATAACGGAAAGTAAAAAATAATCCTTGCATGCCCGAAAACCACACGGTTAAAACGCCACAGGAAGGTCGTACCAAAGGCTCACAGCCAGCAGTCGTTCACTCGCAAATTACACACCCGCATGGAAACATTCTTTTTTAAATTCTGGACGAATGTTTACTTTACACAGGGCTTCAACGCAGCTGCCTCTGCTGCTGTCGTTGCTTCTGCTTCTTCTCTTACTGTTGCTTCCACTGTTGCTTTTGCTGCAGATTTTTCAACTGCTTACTGCCGCTGCATGTGCTGCATCTGCTTCAAAGTATGTGAAGGGGTCGTGAAGTGGCATTGCGTTAAGGCCGGATCTACGGTGTCGAGTGAGGGCCACCGTGTTCCCTGGCGGGGACGGTTGCGCCAGCTGCGCCATTGATTGTCCGCCCCAGAGTTGAGTTCAACGTTTAGCACCCAGTGCCGGCTATCCCAGTGCCGGATGAAGCGAGTGCGGGGCCTGTAGCACATGTTATGAAGGGGCCCTAAATAAAAAAAAACATTGAATATTAAAGCACAAATGTTTTAACTCGCATAGTAAAGTAATTGTATTTTTTCATTTTCTATACAGCCAGATAATACGACAAATCGCTAACCTTAAGCACACCCAGTCGTTCATAAAAGTTGAAGGCGGTATAGTACTATAGTAATAGAGCAAGTGCAGAATCACTGAACTGGAATTTATAGCTTGAACGCATTTAGTGCGGGGCCCTTGAAAGTGCGGGGACCGTAGCTACTATATATATGTAGTAGCTACTACACGTGTAGCTACTTGTGCTACTAGGATCATCCGGCACTGCTTGAACTGCAGTCGGAACATTCCAGAACGCTGTCCCCCCGGGGGGATGATTTTTTGGCCACGCCACGGCTTTCCACATCGTCTTGTGTTTTTGAATTCCTTTTTGGATATTTTTTTGTTCGCGATTAGTTTGTTGCCCTTCACCCCCCGATTGGCACGGTTGGCTATGTGCAGGTGCGAAAGAAGTTCAACATACATACATCTTAAATCCTGTTTATATGATTAGAAAATTGTAGGGTACGATAATATCCGATTATGGATAAGCGATCCATTATGTACTCTAGTGGTAGTAGTAGTGACTTACGCCAACATATTTTACACTACACCAGACAGCGTATCAAGGTTCCGTTAATATCGCGTGAGAAGTTAATCTCTGAACCTCACCTCGTTAACCTCGGCGCGATAACCTCAAACTCTCACCTCGTTAACTCGGTGTGATAACCTCAAACCCTCACCTCGTTAACCTCGGTGCGATAACCTCAAACTCTCACCTCGTTAACCTCGGTGTGATAACCTCAAACTCTCACCTCGTTAACCTCGGTGCGATAACCTCACACCTTCACCTCGTTAACCTCGGTGTGATAACCTCAAACTCTCACCTCGTTAACCTCGGTGTGATAACCTCAAACTCTCACCTCGTTAACCTCGGTGTGATAACCTCAAACTCTCACCTCGTTAACCTCGGTGCGATAACCTCAAACTCTCACCTCGTTAACCTCGGTGTGATAACCTCAAACTCTCACCTCGTTAACCTCGGTGCGATAACCTCACACCTTCACCTCGTTAACCTCGGTGTGATAACCTCAAACTCTCACCTCGTTAACCTCGGTGTGATAACCTCAAACTCTCACCTCGTTAACCTCGGTGCGATAACTTCAAACTCTCACCTCGTTAACCTCGGTGCGATAACCTCAAACTCTCACCTCGTTAACCTCGGTGTGATAACCTCAAACTCTCACCTTGTTAACCTCGGTGCGATAACCTCAAATTCTCACCTCGTTAACCTCGGTGCGATAACCTCAAACTCTCACCTCGTTAACCTCGGCGCGATAACCTCAAACCCTCACCTCGTTAACCTCGGTGCGATAACCTCAAACTCTCACCTCGTTAACCTCGGTGCGATAACCTCAAACTCCCACCTCGTTAACCTCGGCGCAGTTACTTCGTCCGCGCCACGTCTGCCATTTTAGTGATGGCTTTCTCTTATAATCTCCTGTGTATTGTTTCTGATGTAGATATGTTTTCAATCACAATTTTAATACCATTTGTGATGTCCGCAAAATTGACAAGAGACGAATATTTTTCATTGAGAATTATTTTTGTTTAATGGTATGGCTGGCTGTAGGGGGTTGACAGAACCGGCCCTAGACCTTTGGGGGCCCTAAGCAAAATTTGGTTGGAGGCCCCTTTGATGTATGATTTTTTTCACCCACTCGCGAGCAGTGACTCTAGGGGGCCCTCTGCTGGCCACGGGGCCCTTTGCAATTGCAAGGGTCGCTTAGTGGCTGGGCCGGCTCTGGGGGTTGACATCACGTGGTGTTCAGAGGAAAATCCCGTGGAAGATGATGTCGTCACGGAAGCACTTGAGAAGTCAAATCGCCTCCTGTTTACACTCCCCCTGAGTGCAGCTTCCATTCAACACGAGGGGATGATGTGCGTTTATTGACAAAGTGATCTCCTTTAGAAATCACTGCTGCAAGGCGGCCACGTGGTTCATCAGGGCAACAGAGACACTCTTAGACGAAAAGCACTGAGATATTGGCTTTAAATCCTGATGTAAGCCATCGTCATTAGCCATGATCAATCCACTGCTGTATGAAGGCCACCCCAAGCCATCACCATCGCCATCGCTCATGGTCCTGCGCTGTAATAATATTCCATCTGCACGGTGGTTGATTTCACTGGCTCCGTCTCCGTGGCGGACGCGACACTCCCTGGCGCGTGCCGTCCCTGTCTGTGGCTGCCACCGCCTCGGCTCTGTCTCTCAGCCGCTCGCCATCGTCGCCGCTTCTCTTCCAGGGTCGCGTCCTTGTGCCCTCACTCCCCACGCCCCCCCCCCCCTCACCGATAGCCTGAACGGTCAACGCGACGTCGCAAACTCCCACGTGCTTTTTGTTGTTGTTGAAGATTTGCTGGTTTATCTCAGGATGTTTCTGTTGCGTGTCGTCGCTTTAAGGTGTTCTCTGTTCATATTTTGTTTGTTGCGGTTGCACCCGACTTAAGAGCCGCATGGCTCACAGGGCATAGTACCTAATAAATTAAATGAATGAAATGAAAACTTGCTGGGCTCTAGTTGCCCGCGATTACAAACCAGGTTCTCATGTGCAGTGAGTTGATGGTTTTTGACCTGGTCACCGATGACTGCAACATTGACATCCTAATTTAACTTCTTGGTTCTTTCGGTAAAGTCACGTAGAAGGGAAATAATAAAATAATGAAGACAGCGTTCTGAAGTCGCTGTCTTCCCGACAGACCTGTTCTTCACCTGAGGACGGCTGCTTGCGTTGTGGCCGATTCGTCGTGAGAATTATTTTATAATGTTTTATTTTTATTATTTTATTATTTCACTTCCACGTGACTGTACCGAAAGAACCAATAAGATGAATCCCTGCAGTCACGAAAGCTTTAAATCGAAATTTTAAATCCTAATTTAACTGAACGATTCACTTGACTTGCCCGATTATTGCAGCTCCCAAGAAGGAAAAACAAACGTCGGTTTGACTCGCCACGTGACCGCCACGTGCGAGCAGCTGGGCGTGTGGGACAGCACGGCGACCCCCTGGCGTGCGTGAGAGGTCACCCGAAGGGATCGACCTTGGAGGTTACAGTCTGTTCTCCTGCCACGCGTCTTATTTTCATAACGCGAATTGGATGTAACGCGGTGAATGCGTTC